TTTTTTTTTCATCTGTAATTGATCATAATTACAACTTTCTACTATCATTGCATAATTACCTATAATGTTGCCGGTAGACTAAAAGAAAGAGAAGTTAATCTGAGTCTTAAGTTTCTAGTATGTCTCACATTCGTTATATAACTGTGAGCACATTACCGTTCTTTATGGAAACAGATTTGCACCGGTAAAAATTTTCTTTAAAAAAGCTGATTCTAAATGTTAACTTGCAGTCGATCGAGCTCCTTGGCAGCTTTCTAGCAGATTCCAAAATAATCAAAAGACGAGCACTTCATGACAAGATTGGGACTTCTAGGCAGTCATTGTATAGCATATGCATGCCTTCATTTTCTAATTGCATTCAAAGTCAAAAACTAATTATACGAAATAATCAAAAAGGCAGATTTTTTCCTCAAAAATGTAGCTATTATTCAAAAAGAAAAAATATAAATTGTTGTTGTTGAAGGGGTTTCGATAGCTGACGCGCTGCAAGAGTCTGATGAGATTTTCCTTTTTTTCGTAGAGTCACTAGATTCTACGAAAAAAAGGAAACTTTTTGGTAACGGCCATTACACAATTCTAATCAACCCTTTTTTTGTTCAATTTACATCATATAATTCACTTTTACAGTGCAAAAGCGACATCCTCGTTATTCAAAACTTACCAATATCGTAATGCGTATTATAAAAGAACCTTAGCGCAGCTCTCGCCTCCTCTTTGTTGTGCTCCTGGAAATATCACTTTCAGCTGAGAAAAACAAAACTTGAAGAAGGGTAGTCCCTTGTGACCTTAATGTACAAATCTTTCGGGCTTTTTGGAAAACGCCCGGCGATGAGCAAATGTGCCGTAGCCATGATGCTACAAGTCATAGGCAATATAACCCAGTATTGGTCTGAACCAATCAAATTCGGCACACAAAGTGGTGTTACAATGAGCACTGCGATCACACCACCAGAGTTTACCGCAATGGAATTGGAGTCTGAAAGTATTTGAAATTAATGAGGGTAATGAAATATTATAGAATATTTGAATGAAAGTATATTTAGGAACTGACAGTTTCCAAGTTTTTCAAAGCAGAAGAAGAACAATGATGGTATTGGTAAATTCAAATTTGTAAAAAACCTCGTTTGTCCTCAGGACTACAGTCGGAGATGTAGATAAGGAGAGCAATTTTAAGAGCAGCTGTAACACCGCTAAGGAAATGACCCAAAACAAAGAACTCGAATCGGCCGGTAACAAAACAAAGCACCATAGCGATAGAACCAACGATTCCCAAAGAACATCTGAAGCGTGCATGATTTAAACACAAATGAATTCTAAATCTTGCGAGAGTAATTCTCTAAGTAATAATGATCACTTATTCATTTAATCATGGATCAATAATTAATAGCATTTGGACAATTAATTGTAGTGAAATTTCACTTATTGCTAGTCGAAACTCGCTGAACTATTGCTTTGCTGCCACTTCTACAGTTTTTTCCAGAATATTATACACAGCTTGCTAAAAAAAATTTGGTGCGCTTCTCACTATATTTTCAAATGTTCGTTGTGCCATGAAGTTACCTTAACAAGAGGTGCTGCGTACCTGATTGTAATAGCTGTGCCCTTTGCGCCAAAGCTTGTCAGAAGTCGACCCATAATCAAAAATCCTATCATCAAACCAATCATCATTGTTGAAGCACAAATGGAGTACAGTAATTCTAGCCTATAAACCATTCAATCTCTAGTCTGAATAGCTTTCATTAATATTTACTGTACCCTCTTCTAATTATGTATTCAACAGCGATTTCAACTACTTCAAACACCCAAATAGTAGATGCTCTACACAAGACTGTCTCACAGTGTCTTCACAAAAACTACCAAATGTAGTCAT